ATTATATTGTTTGTAATTGATCTGAGGGTTTAACTTAAAAACGTCTCTCCCTAACGTCTGTCCATCTCGACCTGTTGATGAGATACCACGGCGAAGAACATCAACAGTTCCAGGCAACCGGGGTCTATGACGGAAAAAAGAGGTTCACGATCTTCCTGCTTTCGGTCTATATTCACTTTCTCAGTTGATTGCCATGTCTCTCTCTCGCCCTCTCTCACCCTTCCAGTACTGCTCTCGATCCCAATGCCGACCTCCTCAACCCGAGGGTCAATAGTTTCTGCTGACTGAATCCGCCCCGCCCGATCATCGGGACCCATTTTTTCATGATCAGGTACCGACGGCGCGACCAAGACCACCCCTCCCTCCTCCTCTTCCTCCTCCTCCTCCTCCTCCTCCTCCTCCTTCTCCCTATCTGACTGAGCGCTACCATATGGCCATCTGCTGAGGGGGAAAGCAGCGGAAGAATGGTTCGTTGATCTGGCCGGAGAACCTCCCCCAGATGACAGCCGACTGGCGGGAAAACCTCCCCCAGATGACAGCCGAGTGTCGGGAAAACCTCCCTCAGATGACAGCGGCGTGGCGGGAAAACCTCCCCCAGATGACAGCGGCGTGGCGGGGAAACCTCCCTCAGATGACAGCCGAATGGCGGGAAAACCTTCCTCAGATAACAGCGGAGTGGCGGGAAAACCTCCCTCAAATGACAGCCGAGTGGCGGGAAAACCTCCCTCAGATGAGAGTGGATTCTCCCCTTCGGTGAGAAATCTCCCCTTCCGCAAATCAGAGAGGGGATCTCTCTCGACCGTCGATCTTCCTTGTGCATCGGATGTCCTCTCGTTGTCCGGCGCGCTCTGCAGCGGGGACTTCATCAGCCACACGAGAGCGGACAGTAGTCGGGATCCTGCGGCCCGAACTCCAGTCAAAGGGCAAATGAGCCTGGAGTTGGCACGATGACGTGGCAAGCCGCATCGGGATCCCGATCTCGCCGGGCTTCTGCTCGGAGAAGTAGCCCTTGCTTCCTCGCCCACCGGGGTCGCGACATTCCGGCTCTCACTGCCGCATGCTCCCTCACCAGATCGTCGCTCCTCTTCGCTTACGACACCGCCCCCTCCTCCTCCTCCTCCTCCTCCTCTCTCTTCATCTACTCGTGTTTCGATAGCTCTCAGCATGGATGTCAATGTCGTACGCACTGTTGCATCTTCCAGAAGCAGCGATTGGACCTGGGAATCAGTCATTGCCACTCTCGCAATCCTAGAGAGGAGATCGTCATCCTCCACCCCTGATTGCCTAATCAGCATGTCCGCCGCGGCCATGACGTCGTCCGCATCCAAACCCCTGTGATCCGCACACTGATCCTGCTCCTCCTCCTCCTCCTGCTGTTCCTCCTCCTCCTCCTCCTCCTCCTCCTCCTCCTCCTCTCCCTTCTCCTCCTCCTCCTGCTCTCCCTTCTCCTCCTCCTGCTCCTCCTGCTGCTTGTGCTGTTGCTGGAGATTCGTGCTACCTGCAGCCGCCGCGACGTGGCCGTCGCTCGGCCTGCAAAAGCGCTCCTTCCTCCTCCATATCCTGTCTCTGCATTCCGCCTCCCAGCCTTCGTCTGCTCCCTCCTCGCCTCTCGGAAGTTCCAATTCGTTTTCTCCTGCTATGCTGCTCCCTCTTGGCGCCACATCAGCACTCTGCTGACTGTGCATATTTTCGTTGTCGTCAGCTGTATTCCTCCGCTCTCGCGACGTCAGGCGCCACGTGTGCGCCAGTTGATCATGATGATGACAACTCGCGCGATCATTGTCCAGACGTCGACCTTGGGCTGCCTCTGCTTCTGTCTCTTGGTGTTCTACGCCGTCGGTTCCACCGAGCGATCATCTCCCTGCGCTCTCAGGGGCTCGCCACACCACTGTCGAAAGCCAAAAAAAAATCGACGGGGCTGTCAGAATAAATAAATTCGACAGCCTCCCTTCGACAGTTTGCCCCGCCTTTTTAACCACGCTGCACTGTAGAATGGACGCACTTGTGAATGCAAGATGGAAAAAGACTACGGCTTCTGAGTGTACGAGAAGCATTAGTCCATCCGGCCGACCTCACGCCCACTCACCAAAAATTTCGAACAGAAGTCGATGGCGCCGCCGAGGACTGTCGAAATCATCGGAGTAGCAGGCGGGGTGTGGGATTCAGCAACTTTTTTTTTTTTTTTTTTTTTTTTTTTTTTTTTTTTTTTTTGTATGGATTGAACAACTTACTTTCGACAGGAGGAGGTGTCGAGAAGCATTCTCTCTGACAACGTAGTTGCGGCGAATTTTCTTCCCGCCTCCAATTTTTTCGACAGGCTGTGTGGCCAACAAGAGAAATTATCGAAAAACGTGTTTTCGACAGAGTGGTGTGGCGAGGCCCTCAATCAAAACAGGATCAAGATCGCACCTTGCCCTCGAAATGGGACACGTGGATGCCTGTGAGTATGCCACGTGGACAGTACTCGTCACCTGAGCCCTGTGAGAACTTCCCCCTCCCGCGTTTACCGCGATCGTCTGCCGCGCAAATAGGCTCAGGGCACCCGATATGGACCCTTAGGGGTCTTCCCCTGTTGTTGCTGCTTGCCACGTCTGCCATCTTCTCAGGGCATACTCACACTTATGGACGTAATTGCGGCCAGATGCATCCAGGTCCGGCCGTAAATGCGGTCAGACGCTAATGTGAGCACGCGCTCAGTGGCAGCTCGCTGCGCGGTGTAGCCACCAAAAGATCGCCGGAAAACACCGCCAGATCATCATTACAAAAATCACCAGCTACGGTGAAGTTTCGTCGTCAAAAAAACACAGCGATTATGCGCTTTTCTGAGACGTTGGGCAGGGGCACGGTTCCACTACAATAGGTGCCGAGGTGGTAAGGCGTGGATTTTTTATTTTATTTTTTTTCGCGTTGCAAGAACGTGGAGCTGGGGCCGGCCTCCCCACATAAAGAGCCTCGTTCCACACCACTTGAGAACTCTCGAGTTTCAAGTGCACACTAATGGCGAAATTGTGATTTGCACTGCGCAGCCTCCTCTTTCCATGCACACTAGAGACTGCACTTGAAAATGTCGCACTTGAAAGGAAAACACCCTGGCTCCCCCTTCTGCAGAGACTTTCTATCCAGTAGGCCGGCACCCGGCCTTCAGAATGTCCGCCTACGGTGTGCTGTTTGTGCTGTTTGGTACTCTAGGGACCGCTCGGGGGGAGGTGTAGTGCGGGAGCGCGCGCACGGCTGGTTTTCGATTTCGAAACTTGTTGGGGGTACAGTGCGGCGCTCCGCAGCCTACAGGATTGCAACGCGTGCAAAAGTGGACACAAAGCAGCAACAACTTCCTCTCATGGTCCGCCATGCACGTCGCAGCACAGCGCAGAAGATAGGGATGGACAATGAAGGTTTGCAGAAGCACGTGCGAACGCCGGTGCAGGAACCTGCAGCAACCGTGCTTGTCTTGTACTGCCATTTGGACCTGCCGCGGTAGAACATCCCTCGCCCACAACAATCCGTCCCAACGGCTACGTGCAGCTGCAGCGTGGCGACCGATTTGAATCTTCCCACCCCAATGACGGTGCACCACGCGATACAACGGTAACCGTGCGTGTGTGCCCCAACGGCCCGCAGGAATCCCCAGCCACCACCGCCCACGGTTCCACTGCTGGCGCCCGGTCCCGCCACCGGTAACCGTTGCTTGCTGGACCGCAAAAACGACAGGCCATGAACCAGGTACACGCAGCGTAAAAAAAAAAAAACAAAAAAAAAAAAAAACACTGCCCCCGCAGCTGAAACCCAAGGGTAGCTCTTCAACTCAAGGCACCTCGGGGAGGTGACTTGAACTCGAGTGTGATTTTGCCTGGGCTGCGCTTGAGTTTCAAGAGAGGCCACTTGAGATGCAAAATGTGAAAACAAAAAAGCATTTCTCTTGGGCAGGGTGGAACGACCATTTTTTGCGTCGCACTTGAACTCAAGTACTTGAACTCAAGTGGCGTGGAACGAGGCTCAAAGACCAGACTGAAGCATTACCGGTTTCGCTTTTTACAGGGCCCCCCGAGTGGGACCCAACGAGATCTTCCGAAAGAAAGTACACCGAGCAACACTATCTTAGCTACTGTTTTAATTCTTTTTTTCTCTTTTTTTTGTTTTTTTTTGAACGTCCAGGGTGTTGTAGAGCCCAGTTACTAGGCTCACATTGATCACCCGGAGCTGTCAGCCATGGTTGCTAGAGACAAGGCTACCTCCCATCCCATCCTTGCGTCAATACTCCTAGCGCACCCCCTATTCCCACTATCCTACCTCAGTGTGACCAGCACTCAGGACCATTACCCTACCAACGAGGGGAACTTGGACCGAACAGTAGTGACAGGCACCAGGGCTAGTGATTCAGCCCTGGTGGAAGCGTTGTGACGCCCAACCTCACGCCCAGCGCAACTTCCTGATCGAAGTGGGATGGGGGCCTGGAAGTGCGAAAAGGGGTGTGCCAAGGATTTTAGGAAAGTGGGGGTGGAGTCCCAGGTCGGAACTGAGATCTCCTGCTTCAAGTTTCGGGGGTATGAGGGTGTACTCAGAAGGGAGGTTGCTGATGTCGTGCAGCATAAGGCAGATGGCATGCGCAGTGCATCTCAGGCTAAAGATTCGGGCCACCTTCCCGCTATCGTCGTACCGATAGATCTAAACACTTGCATTCTTGAACAAAATCCCAACAACATTGCCTCTGTCAACAGGTTTAAATTTTAAGGTCGAAAGGAAAGGGGAGTCACCATCTCCTCTGATTTCGCCTTCGTAGCCGGTTGTGTGGCTCGATCAGTCGTCGGCACCCCTCGGCTTCAGTTCGGGCTTGCCGAGCAAATTCCGAGGCTTGATAAGCCTGGTGCCGCCGGCACTTTTCGCACGGTTTGCGGGGCCAACAGCGGGCTATAGAGTTCCACGGCACCACTATGAGTTGGTGATAGGGAAGGAGGAGGTGGAAGGGAGGGAAACTGGTAGTAATAACGACGAAGCCAAGGGATATGAAATATTGCGTGTTATAAGTTTTCGGGTAATCGGGGCCCCTGGGGTCGTTAGTTATGACACTGTGAAAACCCTCGCGCATAATCGGTCGTTTTCTGTTAGGCCGAGGAATTCCAGATTTCTTAAATTTCTCCGCCGTCTGAGTGTTTCATTTTCCCAGTATTCGCGGTATTCCAAGTCCCTCAGGCTCTCACGATCGGACATCCAAAAGGAAAATTTTGCAGCCATATCCATTTAGAAAGCTCGGCCTCTTGCAACCTCGTGCGAAGTTTGAGGCTGACTCACGTAGTCGAGTGCGTACGTAGCGACTCAGTTTCCTCGAGATCGCGGTCGTATGCGCACGTGTACGTGTACGTGAGAAAAAACGGATTGGTTATGGGGGTCGATCTCATCCAACATGCATGCAGATATCCTACCCCTTCTACGTTGGGTGCAATCCGATCATTGCATGCCATACATGTGACGGAAAGGAGGAAAGAGGGGATAGAACAATCAACTCCTCGCAACACTCTGGGTGATCGAAGGTTAACGGCTTAAGTCCATACATCCACAACGATCGTCTTCAATCAGATCTGAACGTATAGCTCACGCAAGCGAATAGTGGACAGAGACAAAATAGGCATCGCAAAACAGATTGGAAATCCGAAAATATCGCTAACAAAAGGGACTTCACATTCATTCCATGCATGCATACAAGGTAAACGACAAGGAAAATCCGAGACGATTTTCAAGAGAAGTCAAAAAAGAAGGTCGCGATAAAATCGACCATATCCAGATCCAAAATTATACAGATGAACAGAGGAGATGAAAGGAACAACAAAAAGAACCTTATCCCACACCCACACAACTGCTCTCTCTCTCTCTCTCTCTCTCTCTCTCTCTCTCTCTCTCTCTCTCTCTCTCTCTCTCTCTCCGCCCTCTCTCCCCCACCCCCTCTCTCTCTCTCTCTCTCTCTCTCTCTCTCTCTCTCTCTCTCTCTCTCTCTCTCTCTCTCTCTCTCTCTCTCTCTCTCCGCGCTCCCGATGTAGGCAGTCCGTCGCCTCGCATCCATACAGAGTTGTCACCCCGCTTGGTCCGAGCATGCAAACCAAGTTCGCCCGTGCGCCACAGTCCGTCGCGGCCCCGCACCTCAACCCCTCGTACCCGACACCAGCTCGTCGGATCGCCCAACTCTCATACTTACTCACCTTCCAAACTTGCTCGTTAGTCGACCCTCACTGATCGCGCTAACCTCGAAATTCTTAGAGAGCAAACTAATCGCGCTTGCGAAATTTATAGCATGCATGCCCGCGCGAAAGGTACAGGATTAAGCCCAGATGGACAAAAAGAGAAGAGAGGAAATGCCTACGTCTGCATGGCCAGACCGCGGCGTGGGGGTCGTAGCCATACTCCACGTATCAATCCGGTCATGCAGGCATTTAGGCCAATAGAAACGGGGTATGCGAGGCGAGGAAGAAGGAGAAGGCGGGCAAACACAAGGGAATCAAGAAAGAAGAAAGATACAGTTACAATGGGGTCCACCAAAATGATAGTTACGCAGGATTAAGGGCACGATACAGTCAGAGCCCAGTTCCCAGTGCAGCAAGATGCGCGCAGACGCGGCGTAGAAAAATTCAGAGTACCTAAATTCCTATCCTAAGTCCTAACAACACAGGGAAATTCCAAAAAAGCAGAAAAGAAAAACAATTCTGCGAGCCCGTGGGGGCTGGTCATCAGTTGAAAATTCAAAAACGATATTCCCGTGCGATGATCGCGTCAAAATTCCCAGTGCTCACAGCAGAACAAGAAAGAAGCTATGGTACAGTTACTTCTTACGCCCGTCATGGCGCGACCATCCAACTGTCGGTACGGGTTTTTCCCGACATCGATCCGACAACTTCCGACAGAAAACGAAAAAAAACGAGGGCATCCATGCAACTAGCCCGCCCAACCAATCTTTCTATAGCCCACTCCTTCGACCCGTCGCATTCCCCCAAGTGGTTTCGTGCAGAAAGTTGCACGACTACAGAAAATAGTTTGTCACAGCGAATGTCGAACGAGCCTTGTCGTACTGGAACTTCAGACACCAGGTTCAAGCAATCACCTATTAGCCCCTAAGTAGACCTACTAGTAACTCACGCCCTCTGTTATCATTGAGACGCCTATTATTAGTTGGTTGTGACCTCCTCCCACCCCTATGGTTATATATGTGGGGACAAGGAACTTCGGACGCCAGGCTCAAGCAATCACGGCCTATTATATATGCGTTGTATTCAAGTTTTCCAAAAAAGGGGTTTTTGGAAAGTTAAACCCTTTTCTTCGAATACAAGGGCACTTCGAATATAACGCATGCGTGTTCTATTCGAATAATGCGCATATACGTTATATTTGAATTCCACGAAGAGAAAATCGTTGTATTCGAATATAACCTATTTTTTCCCCCGAAGGTCAACACATGCTCTGTTCTTGCCCTGGTAAACGAGACAGGCCCGTGTAGGCATGTAATCACAGATCACGGCCCATGCTCTCTCTCTCTCTCTCTCTCTCTCTCTCTCTCTCTCTCTCTCTCTCCGTGCGTTAAGGCGCTTCTGACAACGAAGAATGCGTCACAGCCAAGAAAGTCGAAAAATAAGAAAGCCACTCACCAAGGTCCCGCTGCACTACCGTGGTCACCGAGAAAGGGGTTGTATTTATGCACGTTCTAGTGGAAGATTCATTCCCATT